TGCACAGGAATACCTTAGGGACCAGGGGCAACACTCACCTTGCAGAGTTGCTGGGAAAACCACCCGAAGAAACCCAGGCAGGGAGGAGACATTGTTCCTGCCCAGAGTTGTGCAGATTCTTGCGGGCACTGCCGGTCCTGGGTAGAGTGTTTCTCCTCCTCTCCTGGGTCCTCTGTCTGCGTCTCCAGGCAGCCCCTGCCCCGCCCCTCCCTCTCTTCCCCTCCTCTCCCCTCCCCAGGCCCAGGCTCATAGACATTCTGAGCAGAGGAGCTCTTGCTCCTCTGCAGATAGATTCCTCTGCATGAAGGCTGATGCTGACATTTGATACCAGCATCCATGTCACTGCCTGGCTTCTGATCCCCGTGCACCTCTCTCAGCTTTGCTGACAAATAATCCCATAGCCCCTCCTGACTGCTTTCATCCACTCGCTCCTTTGTTCCTGAAACCAAATCTCTACTCCTAATCTCTCCCTCTCTTAGCTCCCCTCTGCCACCTGCCCCATCCGGACATGCTTAGAGGGACCTAGTGGTTCCTTCCAGCTCAAATCCCTGCTCGGGAGAGGGAGCCCCCACTCTGGGGGTGCGCTAATTACGCGCATCCACACGCTCCCCTTGCCTCCCTCCCGACTTGGGGTTTAAGCTGCTTTTTGTTGGGCTATGGGAGTATTATAAGTGATGGTTCTTGGAATACAATTTTAATTAAGATTCAATAGTCACCTTCTCTGTCAGTAAGCTTCCATGCTGATTACTTAAAATATATTTACCCAGCTCTATTATGTCACAGATTTGAATTCATTAGACACTTGTTAATCCTTAACAAACTTTTTAAAAATAAGGTTTGGTTAACATAATTTACAAAGACAAAACTGTCTGAAACAATGGGCCCTGTGCCGGGTGCACAGCCCAAAGTGCCCAGGGCTTCCCTGCTTGGGGCCACTGCCACCCTCTATCAGAGGGCAGGTGACAGGACCAAGGATGGGCAGGCCCAGAGGATGCCGTAGGATGGGGTGGTCTGTCCACATTGCACTGATGCAGCCCAGACAGCAAGCCTTCTAGGGCACAGGGCAGGGTCAGAGAGGGTAAAGGAAGGATCCAGAGGGGCAAATCAAAGAGATCTAGCACAGGCCACCAGCAGGCTTGGCCCTGGACTCATAGGAACCTGACAGACATTACCACTTCCTATGTACGCCATGTTGTGTAAATGTTGGAAGTGCTGCTTAGCCTCGGGTCACTTCAGCGTTTACTGACAAGAGCTTATAAAGAGGAAGCCTTCCTCTTGGGACCATAGGCTTTCAGCAAACTACCCCCCTCTCTACACATGCACACATGCATGCCTCCAACTTAACCAAGGAGGGACATCCTTGGGTGTGGCTGTCCCTGGATCCCCAGTGGGTGTAAGGGGTACTGTTCACCTCTACTTGAGCAGACACAACAGCCAGAGACATATGGACTACCTGACTCCATGACCATGGTGAGTCATGCTGGGCAGTGCAGCTGTTGGTTGCCAGAAGTTGTTTCTGAAGTTTCTGCCGTGACCGCACCTCTCCATAAAGATAGTCTTCTCAGCTGACTAACCAAATGAACCCTAAACAGTGTTAATACAGACCTCGGAACCTCAGTGACAATGCCAGAAACTGGCTTTGCTCAGTACTGTACTTCATTCATTCATTTAATTGATATTTACGGGGCGCTTACGATGAGTTGGGTGTGTGCAAGGCACTGGAGGACAAGATAGGTAAAGTCCCTGTCTTTTGGAGTTTACGGTCTATGAAGGCAGAGAGCTGAGTAATTAAGGAATTATAATGAAAAGTGCAGTGAGCATGTATGTAGGACAAGCATAGAATAAGGAGCACATAGCAGAAGGGTTTAATTTGGTTGAGGTTGTGGAGAGGCTTCCTGGAGTAGGTGGTGTTGAAGCTGAGACCCGGAGGTAGAATAGGAACTTGGCCAGGCAGGAGTGGAGTTAGGGAGAGAGGCCAGGAAGAAACCAGAGCATGTTGGAAGTCCTGGAGGAAGATCAAGCATGGCATTTATAAGTGAGAGACGTTGAGCCTAGCTGGGAAAAGAAGAGCGATGGAACAGAGGGTGGTAAGAGATAAACTAGGGTAGTGGCCAGAACCAGCCCTTGCAAAGATTTGTTCTTGTGCTAAAAATATAAGAAGAGGGTCAGCGCAGATGGAGAAGATTCCTGTTTGTTTTATCAGACTCCAGCTAAGTATGAACCTAGAAAGCCCGAGCTCATTTGAGCACAGGGAAGGTGGCAGGTGGAAATCTTTCACATGCAGACACCTCTGGGCTAGATGTCTCTGGCGAGACCTGGTTCAGGGTCGGATGATAACCCCTCAGGTCTGTTAAAGCAGGGACTGGCAGGGTGGATGGCTGCTCATGGAAACCCAGAGCAGAACTGTGTGGAATTAGGCGTGTTGGCAAAGGCTTGATGAGGGTGATTGTAATGAAGAAGATGAAGAGGGGGAAAAAATCCTCTGCAACAGATATTGGCAAACATTTTCTGTAAAGGGCAAGACAATACATATTCTAGGCTTTGCTGGCCACATTATATCTGCTGCAACTACTCACCTTTGCCACTGTAGTGTGTGCCCACACGCACGCACGCACACACACGCACACACACGCACACACAAGACATAGCCATAGATAATATGTAAATGAATTGAACATGACCATGTTCTAATAAAACTTTATTTCCATAAACAGGTGGCAGGCTGGATTCGGCCCTTGGCTATAGTTAGCCAACACCTGCTCCAACAACACTGTCCAATATGGTAGCCAATAGCCACATATGGCTAGTGAGCACTTAAAATGTGCTCTAAGTATTAAATACACACCCAATTTTAAAGACTTAGTGCAAATAAAAGAATGTTAAATCTCTTGTTAATAATTGTATGTATTGATTACATGTGAAATAATATTTTGAATATAGTGGTTTAAATAAAATATATTATCAAAATTTATTTCATCTTTTTCTTTTTTACTCTGTGTATGTCCGCTAGAACATTTAAATTACATTTATGGCTAGTAAATTACATCTCTATTGGACAGCACTGAGCAGAAACAACACTCTCCAGATGGATTATAGATTAAGTCTTTGGCCCTTGAAGGGTCTTAGGTGGGAGATTTACCCTGAAATAGACACAATAATGAAATTCACATCTTCACAATAAAGTAATATCTAATTGGAGTAGGTTTTTAAATTTACCATACAGCCTTTCAAATCAGCTGGCTGTTTTTTCTGTGTCTGGGCTTCTCAAACTGGGAGCTATGGAGCCCTACTTCCTCAAGATATTAATGATCATTGCTCTCCAAAAAGAGTATCTTTAGCTAAAAAAGGCAAAGCAATGTAGAATTAAACATTAATCTATTTTCTTTACTGCAGCAGAATTTCTCAACCTTTCTGCACTTGCTAATGCATATCGAGCTTTTGCGAGAGCAAGAGAGAGCAGGCAATGTGTCCCCAACTCGGTGGCCTTAGAACGCCTTTCTTGCAGAACCCTAGCCTGCACTGCTAGAAGGCAGTTTGAGAGCGCTGGTCTGCGTGAGGCTACACAACCCGTGTGCAGGGATTTTCAAAAGTCCAACTCCATTGATGTTTTCAGCACTACATAAATGGAGCCACAGCTAGTACAACACGGAATAGTGAGAAAACTCTAAGATTTGGAAGTACAAAGGCCTGAGTCAAAGGCCATTCCTTCCTTCCCTAGATAACCATTCATGCAAAAGCACAGACTATGTGCCAGGCAGTACTTTCGGCCTTGAGTATGTAGTGGTGAATAAAAACAAACCCCTACATCTTGGGGCTCTGTTGCCAGTGCAGAAGACAAGCATTAAACAAGACAAGTAGGTAAAATAAATAGACAGGAGGTTAGATCGTGATCAGTTTCAAGGAGAAAATACAAAGTAAGGAAAAGGGATGTGCACGTCAGGGTGGGGCGTCGGGAGGGAAGGTGACTTTTGAGTGAACACCTGAAGGAGGCTATTCAGCGGTGGACAAGTTCTCATCTATATACACAGATAAGCCCTTCCTTATGACAGATGTTTCCAAAGCCCAAATGAGATGATGTACCTGAAGGTCTGGCCAGAGGACCCAGCACAGAAGAAGTTCATGCCTTTGCTTCCTGTCTCACCCCGCTTCTGCATTTCCCAAAGATTCATCCACTGTGTGGACTCTCCATGGTGAAACTTACCTACAACCAGTTCCCCCAAAACCCCAATAACTAGTTCTCCAGGGGTCAGCTCTCTCCCTGTCCATGTCCTTGTTCCTAAGGAATGCTAAGTCTAAACCAAATTAAGAAAGTAACACTGCGGGGCGCCTGGGTGGCTCAGTCGGTTAAGCGTCCGACTTCAGCTCAGGTCGTGATCTCACACTCCGTGAGTTCGAGCCCCGCGTCGGGCTCTGCTGTCAGTCCAGAGCCTGGAGCCTGCTTCAGACTCTGTGTCTCCCTCTCTCTCTGCCGCTCCCCACTCACACTCTCTCTCTATCAAAAAAATGAATAAACAACAACAACAAAAAAGAAAGGAAAACTGCTTCAAGATACATCCATAACACACTTTTCAAATCTGATGATTATTACTCGAACCACTGGTATGGATTCGTCCCTCCATTCATTCCACACATTTATAGCGCGCCTACTGTGTTCCAGACACTGTGCTAGACGTGTGGGATACAGCAATTCACAAAACAGATCAAAGTAATCTCTCCCTGTGGAGCTGACATTCTCGTGGGGGAGATAAGAAATAGTCCATAAATATAATTAGTAAGTAAATTAAATAGTCTGTTAGAAGGTGATGATAACTAAGGGCGCGGGGGGAGTGGAACTGTATGAAAGGAAGGGACTGGTTGGAAGAAGAGGTTAGACCTCGCACGAGCACAGGCCGTTCTCTGCTGCCCCCCTAAGGCAGGGGTTGGGGTGACCAGTGAAGCTCTGGTGGGGTGTCAGGAAGTGGCCTCTTGACCCTGACCTTGTGTCCCTCCCTTCTAGGCACCACGGCCTGAGTGACCAGACCATGGAGACCCTGCTTGGTGGCCTGCTGGCGTTTGGCATGGCGTTTGCCGTGGTCGACGCCTGCCCCAAGTACTGTGTCTGCCAGAACCTGTCTGAGTCACTGGGGACCCTCTGCCCTTCCAAGGGGTTGCTCTTCGTGCCCCCTGACATCGACCGGCGGACGGTGGAGCTGCGTCTGGGTGGCAACTTCATCATCCACATCGGCCGCCGGGACTTCGCCAACATGACGGGGCTGGTGGACCTGACCCTGTCCAGGAACACCATCAGCCACATCCAGCCCTTCTCCTTCCTGGACCTCGAGAGCCTCCGCTCCCTGCACCTGGACAGCAACCGGCTGCCCAGCCTCGGGGAGGACACCCTGCGGGGCCTGGTCAACCTGCAGCACCTCATCGTCAACAACAACCAGCTGGGCGGCATCGCCGATGAGGCCTTCGAGGACTTCCTGCTGACACTGGAGGACCTGGACCTCTCCTACAACAACCTGCACGGCCTGCCCTGGGGCTCCGTGCGGCGCATGGTCAACCTGCACCAGCTGAGCCTGGACCACAACCTGCTGGACCACATTGCCGAGGGGACATTCGCTGACCTGCAGAAACTGGCTCGCCTCGACCTCACCTCCAACCGGCTGCAAAAGTTGCCCCCGGACCCCATCTTCGCCCGCTCCCAAGCCTCCGCCCTGACTGCCACGCCTTTTGCTCCACCCTTGTCCTTTAGTTTTGGGGGGAACCCGCTCCACTGCAACTGTGAGCTGCTCTGGCTGCGGAGGCTCCAGCGGGACGACGACCTGGAGACCTGCGGCTCCCCCAGCGGCCTCAAGGGCCGCTACTTCTGGCACGTGCGAGAAGAGGAGTTTGTGTGCGAGCCGCCTCTCATCACCCAGCACACGCACAGGCTGCTGGTTCTGGAGGGCCAGGCGGCCACGCTCAAGTGCAAGGCCATCGGGGACCCCGGCCCCCTCATCCACTGGGTGGCCCCTGACGACCGCCTGGTGGGGAACTCCTCAAGGACCGCCGTGTACGACAACGGCACCCTGGACATCCTCATCACCACGTCCCAGGACAGCGGCGCCTTCACCTGCATCGCCGCCAACGCCGCCGGGGAGGCCACGGCCATGGTGGAGGTGTCCATCGTCCAGCTGCCACATGTCAGCAACAGCACCAGCCGCACGGCGCCCCCCAAGTCCCGCCTCTCGGACATCACTGGCTCCAGCAAGACCAGCCGGGGAGGGGGAGGCAGTGGGGGCGGGGAGCCGCCCAAAAGCCCCCCGGAGCGGGCTGTGCTCGTGTCTGATGTGACTACCACCTCGGCCCTGGTCAAGTGGTCGGTCAGCAAGTCGGCGCCCCGCGTGAAGATGTACCAGCTGCAGTACAACTGCTCCGACGATGAGGTACTGATTTACAGGTGAGCCGGGGGCTGTGGCAAAGGCAGGGAGGTGTCTGGCAGGAGAGGGAGGAGGAGGTGACAGGGAGGGTGTTGAACTGTTCCCACCTACACCCCTTCTCCCCAGAGGTTCCTGTGGGATTCTTGGGGCAGACTGTGTCCTCTGTGCAGGTAAGAGGACATAGAAAGAAGAACTTCAACTACCTGCCCGGGGGCAGCCCCAAGAGATACGTGTCAGAAGGACCAGGCCTCCGAGGGCGTGGCTGTGATAGGTGGGCATGTGGCTCTGAGCCTCTGGACTTTCTGGGTTTTGAGCCCCAGGTGGGGGACACACAAGAACAATGAGGGGAGCTCTTGGCCAAAGGATCTAACTCCTCCAAGGAGGAATGAATCTGGCCTTCATCTGGACTCGCATGTATCGTGCTTAAGGCTTTGAGGCCAGGAAGAGTAGAACTCGGATCATGGCCCCACCACTTGCTACCCATTTGATTCTCCTGGGCTGCCTCAGTTTTCCCTACCTGTAAAATGGGGAGAAGCCGTACCTGACTTAGGTTGGACATTTGAATGCAGGTGATCGAATCCAATTCAAACCGGCTGAGAAAAAGGGGAAATGGAGACATAGTGTGTTGGCTCAGGTACTGTAAAAGTCAGGAAGCTGCTTCGGGCTCAGCTAGATCAAAGGACCCACCCACGTCCTGTATTCTCAGAGTTTCTTACATTCCCTAAGTTCCATTTTCTTCTGGTTTGGCTCACCCCCACGCAGTCTCTTTCCTCTGAGCTTCCCTCTGTCCCTTTCCCAGCTGGTCCCACAGAAGCCCTGGATGAGCTCTGATTGGCAAGAGCAGGTCACGGGAGCCCCCTGGATATTAGAGGTGGGGCCATCTTGCCCACCTGTGCTGACATCTCTGGGCATAGATCCCCTTTAGCTGGATATGGAGACAATGAAGTTGACCTTGTAACTTTATGGTGAGGATCAAGGGGTCATTTCCTGGGCCTGGTAGAAAGGGAGGTTAAGACTAAAAAACTGCACTTGAATTGCCCCTCAGTCATTCAGAGGGAGGGAGAGAGGAGCTCACAGAGGGACAGATCCAGGCCAGAGGGTCCAGGCTCTGACCTCGGATGAGTCCCCATCTCAGCCAGCCTTGGTTTGCGTTAACCGAGAAGCACATGGCCTAGTATCTTACTGCTCAAGGAATGCCTGGTTTCTCCTGAAACCCTGTGTATTTTCTTGCGTGCCTTTAACCATGATTATTCTGAGAAGGGATCCCGTAGGCTTCGTAGACACCCGAGGGTCCATGGTGCAGGAGAGGTCGAGAGCATTGAGATTTCTTCTGGCCTCTGTCTCAGTTGCTGAGTCTCTGGATCAGGATGCCTGAGAGAGAAGAGCTCACAAGGAAGGCATTCATTCGCCAAATGGAGTCCCGGAGACTGAAGGGGGGCACGTCATGGAAACTGATAGAAACCCGGGTACTTCCCTGACTGGCCTATGCTTGGCTTGTCTGGACAGCAGCTCCTCCCCTCAGGATGTGCAGAAGGCAGCATTAGACCCTATTAAATATATACATGTGAGCACATATAAAGAGATCTATAGGTAGATCATTAAGCCTAATAATACACATATGTAATTTTCTAATGATAAAAGTAATAGTCTGTAGTAAATTTGAAAAATACAATGACAAAGAGAAATGAGAATTACCTGTAATCCCACCACCAAAAGTTAACCCGTTTTCTTTCTCTACATTTTATCTCAATTCGAAATGATATTTATGGCCAGTCTAGTTTGTACTTCTTAATTCTTTGCACCCAACATTATACTTGCTTAGTTCCCATGGTAGTAAAAATATTTTCCATTTGCCTCTACCACAATTTCTTTAACTAATCTTCTATTGTTGAACATTTGGGTTTCTCATTTTCAGCATGAAAAGCAGTGCAGCGATGGCTCTTTGTACACAAATAGATTTGTGCAGGTTCAGTGCTGTGCTTGGCATATTTTTCTAGGGGTTGAGTGACTGGTTTCATGAGTAAATTATAATCTTTACTCATTCTGTGTAAATATTTATCGACCCCTCCCTATGGAAGGGGACAGTGCCCATTTCGACCACACCTTCGCCAATGATTGAATATATAATTACTTTCATCTTTGCCATTTTATAAGTAAGAAATGGAACTTGTTTTAATTTGCATCTCTTTGATAACTTGTGAGGTTGACCTTTGGAAAATAAGTATATTTCTTCACTTGTGAATTTATTACATGGTCTTGACTTTGGTGAGAAGTGTCAAGGTGAAAGGCGACCAGCTCTGAGGCTTGCACCGGCATAGGGTTGCACAGGCAGCACGCCCCTATCATACCCCTCCCCGGGGGACCCAGAAAGCCAGGCAGGGACACAGGAGGGGTTGGGGCTCTGCTTCTGAAGTCACTCAAGATGGGAGTTCAAACTGCTTGCATTTGGTGATTGAGAACCTGGAGACACTAGGTTCTTAAAAATAAATAAAATGAATCTATCAGAAACCTTGGAAGGGCACCTGGGTGGTCCAGTGGGTTGAGCGTCCGACTTTGGCTCAGGTCATGATCTCTCAGTTTGTGAGTTCGAGCCCTGCATCAGGCTCTCTGCTGTCAGTGCAAAGCCCGCTTTATATCTACTGTCTCCCTCTTTCTGTCCCTCCCTGCCTTTTCTCTCTCTCTCTCTCTCAAAAATAAGTAAACATTAAAAAAAAGAAAAGAAAAGAAAACGGAATAAAAACAACAACAACAACAAAAACTGCTGACTTCCTCTGAGCTCAGTCATGGGGACCAGGGGAGACAGAGCTCAGAAAGATTTCCAGATAGTGCGGGCACATAGTAGGTGTTCAGGGTACACGCGTCACTACCATTATTAGTAAAAGTAATAATAATGGTGAGAGGAAGACCATTATCTTGTCTGTGGCGCTTGGGGAAGGAAAGAAAAGCGAGGGCTGAATACACACTTCGGTCTTTAACAAGAGAGATTTCTAAAATTGGAAACAAAAAGTTCAGAGTGAGTCTGTAGTCAGTTGATAGGAGCGGCCCTCGCTGGTCACCTTGGCTCTCTGCTCACTCTGTGTCTGACACGTGGCTTTCCAGGCCGTGTCACATTCAGGGCTCCCAGGCATACCGCGAGACGTGGAAAGGGCCGAGAGAATTAGGAAACTCTCCCAGGCTCGGGCAGCCAGAAAGAAGCAGGACTGATTTGAACTGAGGCCGCTCCTGGAGTCACTGCTGGACTCGGCCCTGTGTTCATGCCGCCCAGCATCCTAACAGCAACTCTGAGAAAGAAGGAGACTCCAGGAAGGAGACCGAAGTTTTAGAAAATGAACTGTCCCCATAAGAAAGAAAAGACACCGGTGGCTGCACAGTGGCTTCTGATGGGCACCAGAAAGTGTACAAGAGAAGGGAAGAAAGGCCTGTATCCAAAGATGAGGAGGAGAAGGTGCTGTGTGGAGAGAGCTAAAGACAGTCAAATGGGGGCTTTTTAACCTCTGTTCTAGCAAGAACCAGTCTGCAGGTTGGGAAGGAGGTTGCAGGGAGACTAGACCAGAAGCTGCAGGCCAGCCTGGCCTTTTCGGATTTGCCCCCAGTCTCCCCAGCAAGGAGACCAGCAGCACAAATAGCACAAATCTGCACTACGAGCTTACTTGTGCTGCGCGCCGTGTTCTAAGGGCTTTATGCACGCCGATTCATTTAGTCTTTACTATCCCCGGGAGGTGAGGGCTACGATTATGCCACTTTGCCTATAAGAAACTTGCCCAAGGTGTGACACAGGGGTAAGTAGCAGAGACAGAATTGGGATCCCAGTCACCCGGGTAGGAAAAGCCCTATACCTTGCAGAAGGAAACAAAGAACGTGAGTTGCTGGTCCCCAGGCCCTGAGGGTCACATTCAAGACTAAAGGAACGCTAGATGAGGTTCTCGAGCTGTGGGAGTGGTCCCGAGGCAGCATGGACAGAAAGAGAAGTGCCTCAGATGGGGAAAGGGCGGATATTCCGCTTTTCCAAGAATAGACCGCGTAAATCATAGGATGCTAGGCTGGGCATGGAGTCCCTGCCAAGTTCTAGAAAGGATTTCACAACAGATGGCGGCAAGCCCTGAGAAAAGAATGCTGATTGCCAGGCCCCAGCGTGGATTCACATGGGGAAAATCCTGCCTAATTACTGATCTGTCTTCAGGAGACACTGTGGACCCGCAGCTCTCAGACCCACGTGCCTCCAAGCCATTTACGAGGCTACACTCCTCAGTTGACACGCTCCTTGTACAGCGATTCTCCGCTAGACCCTACCCCCGTGTGGCCCCACAGGGAAGAAGAGTCGAATCTCTGGGGTGCTGAGTGCCCTTGGAAAGCATCCCAGGAGTTTCCATTGGCTATGACTCACAACCGTAAACAGAGCTCCTCACAATTTTGTAGGACACTTGACAAAATCTCACACTGTGTTTGGGACAAAATGGAGACACGCGTGCATGGTGAAATGGGCTTGAAACTGTTCAAGTAACCAGACTGATAAATTAATGTGAACATGCAACAAAGCCTCTACCGTGTGCCTCAATTTCTGCCCCCATTTCTGTTCCTCTTGATACATTTCCCTCTTGTCATGGATAACGATGCGGAAAACGTGTCTTCCCTTTGGTTCAAGGATTCCATTGATCAAGCACAAGGTGAAGAAAATCTGGCTCAACTGGAATTCTGTGCAGCATGGGGTCTGGAGTTTTAGTTGATCTCAAGGACATTGTAGCCCCAAAGTGATGGAGCCACTAAGACTCCTATGGTTTTGATTGTGTTAACAGAGATAAAAGGCTCAGCTAGGGAGAGATTACAATTCTAACCACGGAATCATTCGAGCTGGTCAGAGCAGCGATGTAGAGTGTTTAGCACAGGGTGGCGCAGTCTTAAGAATCATTTTACCAATTGCAATGTGTCCAGAGATCAGTTGATGAGAGTGGGATTCTAGAAGCTCGTGTGAGATGGACAAACGTTACCTTGGAGAGGAGAGGACGTAGAAAAGAAGTCGTAA